TCTAACCCCAAACTCCTAAACTCGTACACCCTAAGAGTCCCGGCTCCTCTTGCTCCTTCGCCTCTGCCTTGGACCGGCGCGGCCTGTTTGGGCGAACATGTGTACCCAATTGATGCGCAGAGGGGCTGGGGGTGCGCGGTTTCTTTTTTAGTCACTCTTTTTCGGTCCGCCAAGGCCTCCCGACTAACACCGAAAATTGGCACAGCGCAGCTTCAGGGCTGCGAGTGATAGAAACATCTTTTGTGGAAATGAGTCTACTGTTCTTTTTCGGTGCTTGGGGTGTTGTAGTTGCTCATGCTTCAGGGTCAAAGGGTCCAAGACTCAGGTTGCTTGTGTTTCAGCCAGTTCAGCATGAACATGAGCTCCTTCGTGCTGTAGGCACGAACATAACAAGGGCTACAAGACTCTAGAACACTGACCTTGAATCCCCAGCTGAATCTCAAGCAAAACACACGCAGAAGCATGTGCGCTGAAGCCAGACAACTGTGCTCCTGATCATCGTTTTTTTATGTTTGGTTTAGGCTTGGGAGGCCTCGTCACACCTTTATCAAGGTTCAGGAAGATGCTTTGGCAACAGCAACGGTGAGAACAAACGACCAGCAACAGACGCCAATAGCGACGACTATAGGACCTACACTGACCCAACGCCAACTATAGCAGCAGTACAAAGACTCCTCACAGAAGGTACCTGCAGCAGCCGCAGCAGCGGCAGATGCCTTCAAGCTGACTTAAAGGTTCAGGAAGTGTGCATCTGCCACAGTCCGTGTATCCGTGTATGGTCCCTTCTGAAATGCGGCATGCACTTTTGTTTAGACGACGTTCTCAGAAGTCGGATGCATTTGTACTGGAAGTTTTTCGATGCTACAGATTGAGCCTCTGGCTTTCCGGAGCTTTGAGGCTTGGTGATGGCTTTGTTCTTCTCACGCTCGAGCGTTGAGTGGCTCCGGTCTGAGTTTCGCGACCTTGCTATTGGGCTTGAACACTCAGGGGCCCAACTGGGAATATTGAATCGCATCACCAAGTGTTCAACATTTTGTATTAAGCCCCAAAGTCCTCAGCCCTGTACTGTGCAGCCGGGATGCAGCTGCCAATCCTGTGGCAAATGCCCCAGAACCAAAGGCAGGCCTCTGGCAACGCCGGGCCGAGAGTTCCAATTCAAGAATCCATTTTTGCAGCAGGCTTCGCACTTCGCCTGGATCGCCTTTACATCCCAACCTCCTCGACTGCGTGCTGGAGGCTGGACACAAGCAGTCGTTCTCCGAGCAGACTAATTCAAGAATCCTAAGCCCCAAGCCCCATCCTCTGTTCAAGCCCCAAAGCCATAAACCAAAGGTAAACCTTAACCGCGAAATCGTTTGAACATACCCAAATCCCTGAACTCCCACTGCCCTGAACACCTGAACCCCTGTTCTTGGAGCCAAGTTCATCAACATCTTTGTTTCGATGCCCCTCTGTTGGGTTGAGGATTTCCATCCCGGTCTTCAAGCAAGTTCAACTCTATACATGCGGTGACCATATAAATCATAGCTACAGCTGTCGTTATTAGTAGTACCTTCTTGTTGCCTCCAGCTTGACTCGGACGAGACCCCTGCATTTCCGGGTCCTAACTGGTTGTTCTTTGGAAACAAGACCACTTGTAGGGGCTTAGGCCCTGGAGCTCAGAACAAACCAGCCAGAGCCCGAATCGCTCCAAAGCACGGATAAGCAGCAGCAACCTCCCAGTCCGCCACCAACTGGCAGAAAGCTTCGTATTTAGGGGTTGGGGGTTGAGGGATGTTGAGGGTTTAAAGTAAAAGAAAGAAAGTTGGAATATGGTTATCCTAAACCCTTTATGGTAAGTTATAAGGTATCCTACCCTGAAACCGTATTCCAACTTTCTGGAGTTCCCTTTAGGCTGTAGGAATGAGCCTTCCAGACTCTTTGGCAGCTTCCGGGTTTCTGGCTTCAGCTGTACAGTCGGGGTTTGCCTTGACAGGTTAGTGCTCACGCTTTAGAAATAAAGGGTCATCGGGACTTCAGTTTGAGGTGATCAGTATCAGTAATCTATCCATCTTTCTGTAGATAGGGTTTACGCTCTCGCAACTCGCCAGACGAGGTCTCCGTGTTCAGGCGTACAACTCTCCTACTAATATAGACTCGGTTTAGGATTCGGGATTTCAAAATGTTTAGGCTTGGAGCCCCCCCGCAACCCCAAAAGCCTTCCGTCCAGGGATTCCTCCCGCGCTCAAAGAACCGAATCTCAGGACTAACCTGCTCCAAGTGGGCATTCAGGTGAGGGTGGCAGGGCTGGTTTTATTGCCACCCGCCGAGTTGAACAATGTCGCACCGCAGGGATTTCGTCCGAACCTACCGACTGGGAAGGATCCCACAAAGCGTGCGTTGGACTGGGTATATCAGGTACATCCACGTCGCGTTGAGATTGCTGACCCCTTCATTGCCTGCCGGCCCCTGTCCGCGCCTTGGGCGAGCAGTGCTGGTTCTTCCCACCACTCCAGTTCTCGCTGAATGCGATACGGATCGTCCTCGACTTGATTGCGGGCTGACAAAGGTAGGGTTTAGGAGTGGCAGAAAGCGTGTAGGGTTGATCACATGTGCAGGCTTAACGTTACATGTATTTCAAGGCTTTCGATTTCGACTCTACCTCTCACAAGCGCACTAGGCAAGCAGGGCGTCTGTACCTCAAACGAGCCTGCACGTGTCATGCTTGTTTGCCTTGTCCTTTTGCTGTTTACATCATAGACGCCGGAATCAAAGGACTGGGGCATGAACTTATCCGATGATCAATGCCGGCCCTGAGCTCTGACTGACTCTTAATTAATTAACCCTGAACCCTACATACCAATCTTTAGCCACAAACTCAAGGTGTTGGATGCAAGATATGCAAGCTAGCTGGTTTGAAGGGTAACCGTGTCTTCACAAACCTGGCAATGCCAGCAGCGGCGGCAGAGGTTTAGACTGAAGTAGGGGCAATAGTCTTGCAGCGTGCAGTCTAAGGGAGCATATGCGTTCGGGCCCTAATGTGTCAGGCCAGTCGCGCATTGCACGTCGCCCAGGTAAATGATGCCCGCCTCAAGACAGCGGCAAGCTTCTAGGTCGTGTGGCGGCCCTTTGCGCGAAACAGCGCGCTTCTGCAGAGTCGTCACTATACTATAGGGCCCGAAAAAATACACTCTCAACCCCAATGCCCCTGAATCCTGAACATCACTGGGCGCCGGAAAGTCGGGTGGTTGCACATGTGTATGGATCCGGAGAAAGGATGAGCCTTGAGAAGTCGATGTCTATAGCTTGTCGGCTGCAGGGTCACTATGTCTTCGGGCTTCAATAACCCGGAAGACCCCCTTCCAGGTCCAAAGAGGAAGATGCGGCCAATGGCTTGGACATGAAAGGAGTAATTAACTGAAAGAACTCCGTGTTGAAGCAAACTTTAAGCCGAATCCTCATCATTGGCGAAACCTCGGAGATGCTGTCACCCAACTTGCGAGCTGTTCGTCTCCAGCAGATTGGACTTGCTAAGTGAGGTTTTCAAGTGACTGCTCCGCACTGGCTTGGAGTTTCACGTGGAGCTTCCGGGTCGATCCCGAGAGTGCATCCAAGAAACGTCTGCGGCGACCAGTGTGCTGGAAGTTTCAGCGACCGTGGTGGTTTCCTTAGGAAGCAGCTTTTGTAACGGGGTATTGCCTCCCGGTAACTGAACCCTTCCACAAATATCGGGCGGTTTAAGTGTATCTGTATCACAGTTCTGGGGGGCTCATTGCTGCTATCTTGAAGTCTTTCCCAGGTTGACCTGGCAGCAGGGTTTGGTGTGTGGCGTTCATTGTTCGAGGGGTTTAAGCTTTCAGGCCTCCAAACCCTCCAAGCCATTTCAAGCTGTTTCGTATTGACACGAAATCAATCAGTCATGTCAGGCTAGAGGCGGTCTTGCTACAACTGCACCGGCAAGAATTACCGGAATGTGAGTGTGCGCACTTCCAGCATCTTACCGTATCGGAGATCGTCTTGCTTCCAGTCTCAATGTCTGGCTCCTCTGTCAGCGTCGCCGCGAAGGTGGTAGTAATAGGCCTTGAGCACAAATCTGGCCAATGTACTGCACATGACAACCACATGTGGGAGCCACCGTTACAAACCTGCTACTAAACAGTCCATAAACCCAAGAAAAGCTCAGGCTTAGGGCTACCACATATTATCCTTTCAGTGCAAACGGCGTCCTCGGCCCGGAAGATGGAGCTTGCACGGACGGTCGGTCATGAGGAGTCAAGATGATAATATGGAAAGCGAGTTGGTTAATGATATGTATATATAGACATATTATGAAGCTACATCTGCATGTATATGTATATATATACATGCATGTATATATATATATATACACATACATACATATTTACTTGTATACCCACATATTTACATATTGCATCGTTTTCTGGAGGGGGTGACAACTTGAGGCACCTGCTCAAACCTGGTCTGGAACACGCCAGCGATGTCCCGTGTTGGTCCGTCAGTCAAGGTTGTCGGTGTCTCAATGTGCGCCGTGATTCGAAAAAACTGATGCAACGCAACAACAACCAAAATGATGTTTGATGTTGGGTACTAGCATAAAGGAACTCCAGAAAGTTGGAATATGGATTAATGGTAGGATCCCCTATAATTTACCTTAAAGGGGTTACGATAATGATATTCCAACTTTCTGGCTTCTACTGTAAGCCCAGCCTGCAACGTGTCTACATTAGTAAGCTGGCCACCAGCAATTGTCGGGCGTGGGATGTCAGGTGCAGGATTGCGCATGTAATTGACAAGTTTAGCACTCAAACCTCAAGGAAGCAGAGTGCTGTTGAAGGGCTGTCAGGTCTGCATGATCTAGACCCGACTGCACAGCACCAACTGCGAACCCCAAAACTCGAAGCCTGAACTCTGTAATCCCTAGACAGGCAAAGCCCCGTAAACATATATAAATTCGATAACCCTGAACACTGAACCCACACGGACACGGCTGGGTGCCGGACAGCGTTAGCAACCAGGGCTCCTGGGAGGTGGTCGACGTCACCAGTCGGTCCTCTGCAACGTGGGTTCAGTGTTCCGGGTTGGGCTCAGTCTCTGGTTTTTTCTTTTATCTGAGCTCCGATGATGTCTGCCCAACCATCTGGGCTTACGTAAGGCCTTAGGCCAAGAGAAGGATGGAGACCTTTACGCTCCACCACCACAAACCCGCACTCAGAAGCCACTCTGGTTTTCAGGGCTGGTTCTGGTTTGGGTTGGTTTTGGATTTAGGCTTTGGGGTTTCTGTAGGGCAACATGGACCAATGACGAAACTTGCTGGTAGCAAAAGCCGCAAGCAGCAGTTTGTTGGAGACAGTGCAAGTCAACTGATCAGAAGACGTCGAACCCCCGGCAGACGAGGTCCGCAAGGTACCTTTCTACGCATGGACTTCCTAGCCCTATACCGAACGCTGCCAGAATTTCGTCATCTACAGCATGAAGAACACCAGTTGACACAGGCCTAGAGAAACAACCAGCTGCCAGCTCCACGGTAGACTGTAAATGGATCCAAAACCTGAACAAACTAACTGTTCTGCTGCTTCCCCCGGCCGGGTCCGCCGGAGCGCTGCAGAGGAGCTGCACCGCAGCTGATGCCTTCATGGGGAGAAGGGCTGCAGGGGAGACACGGCCGGCACTAAGAAGCAGCTGGAGGGTTTGGGTTTGGAACCGTAAACCCAATTCGAGGCAATTGGGCCCCCGCCACACCCTGCTGTTCCAAGATGTTCGGGGCTTTTGCGAGCCGAAACGTACACCTTCAAAGCTGTGTGCTGTGGCGTACCTGTATCATCCTGTATCCATCGTATTTGCCTGTTTGGCCCAACAGCGTTGCGATCAGGATGCTCTCATAGACGAACAAAGTAAGCGCAACAACGGACCATAGTGGGAAACACTGCCGAACCCGAAACCTCCATGGAACCCAGAACGAGCCCTCGACCCCTGACGGAGCCCGAGAAGAAAACCCCCTCAACCTAAGCGAAACCCTATTGCAGGACCCCCGCAACCCTGAAGCGGATCCTAATAAAGTAAAAGCCAGAAAGTTGGAATATGATTATCCTAAAGCCTTTATGGTAGATTTTCAGGTATCCTACCCTGAAACCATATTCCAACTTTCTGGAGTTCCCTTTAGGGCCCCCAAACTCACAGGGAGAAAGCCTCCGTCGTGGCAGGTCCAGTCATGGAAGCAGGCCTCTGCTGTACAATCTTAGGGGTGTCCGGCTTAGGAAAAAGGTGCTGCAGCTTAAAGGTGCTACAGCGGCGGGGGGTGTAGGGCTCAGGGTATGGGGGTGTAGGGTTTAATGATATGGAAGATGTGTGTGTGTGTGTGTGTGTGAGGTTTAAACTTGGGCATGCAAGGGCATGCAACAGGAAGAAGGAGACGGGTCTGAGCCGGAAGTCCTAAGAATCATAAATTGAATGCACATTTAGGTGCTTTCGCCAAGGAGCTCGTTGACCGTAGAGTTGCCTCAGAAAAGCAACTCATCTCTTTTGTGGCCAGCGGCTGCTTGCACACCACAGGAAGACGCAGGTTTTGTTGTTTTGGAGTATCGCGGGGTTCGCGGCTTCTGCCCTGAACCCCCCCGGCGAAGGATTGTCGGCGCCCCGCCTTGCTTCGAATCTGAGGTTGTCAGGGCTGGTGCCAGCCGTGTAAACGGATTTTCGACATTTTTTGAAAAATATCTCACGACAGTATCCACATCAAGGCACATGGAAACTGTTAGGCGGTCTTGCCCGAATGACTGAACCAGGAGCCCGAGCCCCCTGCCCGCATCAAGGCCCCGATTCAAGAAGACGTGTGCGGTGTCGCAAAGCCTCAGCGAAAGGAGAGCTGCAGGAACCATGTAGTACCCTCACCCAAAAAACCAAGAATTCTCAACCCTTGGGCTTTAGACTCTGCCCAAAAGCTTGAAAGCCAACTCCACAGGTTTCAAAGACACTTCGAGCCTCCACCGTCATTCTGAAACCCACCAAATGACAACCCCTTCTCCTACCTTTGGTTCGTAGGGAATGGAGGAATGGGGTACGATTACAACTACTATTACTGCCATTCTTCCATTCCCTGCTAACTCAAGGTAAGTTCTCCCCTTGCCTCCCGCTTCAGTTTTGCAAACCAATGTGCGGGCAGTAGAAGCAGCCCACCGGCCAATAGTTCTCCTGGTCTTGGGGCGTCGAGGCTTAGGATTGGATTCACGGAGTTATAGCATTTTGGGGTTTGGGGGGTCTCGTCTGGGACTGGGATGTTTGGGGATTCTCTGAACCCTGCGAACTCCGACTTTTGGACCCTCAAAAACAAACGCTATAGGCCCAAACAGTCGTTCAGAGGGTCCAGGTAATGCTTGGGTGCTGGGGTCATGCTACGTTCTTCGGAGCTCAGAGGATGTAGGATTCAGTGTTAGCAGTGCAGACTAGCTAGCATACGGCCCAAAGTGCAGAGTTCAATACCGCACTAGCGATCTCCTCAGGGCCCTGAGCCCTACACATCCAAACCCAGAAACCCTGACCCCAAAAAGATGTTGATAATAGACCCCAAACGCCATTTTCCTAAACTCCCCTAAGCCCTAAGAGCTTGAGACCCGCTCCTGAAAGAACAACCTTGAAATCTCCAAGGCCAAGAGTCAACACTGCCCAAAGCCGCGGGCCAGCTGACCACAGCCACTGTGCCATCGAAAACCAGGGACATCTCTGTTGCCGCCCGTTCCTGACGGCTTCGCGTGTTCTGTCTCTACATCTCTTGTTCTAGACAATCTGTAGCGGGGGCTTTGGGACCCTAAACCCGGCTGATTCGAGATTGCCTTGCCATCCGGCCAGCTCCCTCACGTAACGGAACAGCAGGATCTTGTGACAGTGTCTCCAAGCACTCAGAGAGTAGAATACCTTGTGCTTCCACACACGTGTAAACTGAGAGCCGAACTTCGGGCTCCTCGGGTTTCTTGCGATTTTCGACTTGGGGTTTCAGGATGAGGATTCAGCTCGCACAGCCAGAATCCTCCGGTCGGAAGGCTTGCTGAGAATGCCGGGAGGTCCAGGGTTTAAGATTCGGCACCATGGTCTCTGCGTTTACGATTGCTTAGACCGTAGGGATGTGTTTGCTGGCGTTACATCTTGACTGCGCTACTTGTGGCAAGCTCTGCATGTCGACCTACACTACATTGCACTATACTGTCAGCAACAGAAGCCCTCTGCATCCCTCTGCCAAGGATCACAAACCACGGCGTCCGAAATCAAGTTGTAGCCCTGTCGGCAGCGGCCGCGTCCCAAGCGAAACTCTTCGGTGAACATGGAGACATTCCCAGCAGCCTCCCAGCCAGGAGTGCTGAAAGCTCCGGGGATGTACGGCTTACCTTCAACTCCAGGATTTGGGAATTTTGGGGCTTGAAGGCTTTAGGCTATGTATCGTAACCAATCGTATATCTACCCTAGCAGGCACAAATTCTCAGCAGGGTTTAATGCGAAGTTTTCAGAGAATGACATCCTCGGTCGTACTCCGCAGTGGTCCATCCGAGCAAATAGCAGCTGCCAAGGGAGCTGCGCCTTGGGCCAGACAGATTGTGGTCATACTACGGATCATCAGATAAGTTAGAGGATTTAAAGTGGATGGGCTTTTAGAGCGTTGCAGCCTTTGGGTGTCAGGGTTCAGGGCTTTTTCCCAGTTGCCTGGACTTGGCTTCTGCGTGGACGTCTCCGGAGTCTTAGACAGGAGGCCCTGTTGAGACATAACCCGACCCGAAAGTCCAAGTCCCGCGAACACCCACTTCGCGCTGCATCCTAGACCGAAGCCCCAACACCTCGAGCTCGAGCTGTTTGAGATCAGAAGCTACCGAACTTCAATCCTGCAGATCAGAGTTTCATTTGTGTTTCTTCTCTACGGAAGAAAGTCACGAAGGTGTAAGGTTTATGCTTAGCTTTCTCATGGTTGCTGAAGCAGTACGGAAGGGTCAATGGCTTTCGAATCTGAGAGTGTAGGCTGTGAGAGGTTCAGGTTTCTGTTGGGATCGTTCTGCAGATGCAGAGACTCCAAGCTAATCCTGTGCCCCGAAACAGCATACGCGAGATGCCCGGAAACGAACTTGTCGGCCAAAGATGCGGATCGTCTCTGTGGCCGTCTCTTCTATGGAGGCATTGTTGAAATACAAATCCTTAGGTGTGGCTGGACCTACTCCAGTTTTTACCAGCAGAATTGCTCGGAGGTACATTAAAAGTCAAATATCATTCAAGGCATAAACCGTGTTGTGCAGCCATCGGAATTTTGCTCAACTAGACTTCTATTCAACACGCAGGCATACAGCAGGCTCGACAAATTGGGGCATCCTTTGCTCCACCCACTTGTCAGTTCTCAAGAAGCCACGCGAAGACAGGACAATCCATGCTTAGAGCAGTACCTGAAGATGGCGTGAACCAGATGGCCTGCGAGAATGCATGCAGGGGCTTTCACAATTCTAAGCAATGGTACAGCTGTAATAGGAAATCCCGTGAATCGTAGAACTGCGGTCCCAAACGCCGAAAATAAGGCGGCCAACACCTACATCAAAACTCCTTCAACCCTCAATACCTGGGCTCTAAACTCTCCAAGCCCTAACCAAAAGCCACAATTGTAGGCCCTGTGACAAGGCTCGCCCTGATCACATTCCTGGCAGAAGAAGCAGTTGGCCGGATAGCCGGGGAAGTCGACAACAAGCACCTGGCACACAGGGGGCTAGGAGTTAAGGTTTGGACTCTCGCAAGTCGGACCCCGCACTTAAGGTTTGAGTTTGGGAAATTTTTTAGGGGGGGTTAGAAGAAAGCCCTCAAGTGGCCACGGCCTGAGGTATGGCCACGCCCAGGTAGAAGCCCGCATCCTGGCAATCCTTGGCTGTAGGCTCCATTATGAGGGTTCCTAGCAGGATGACCCGGAACCTGCATGGGATTATCACAAGGACTCTCCTGAACCCAAAACAGTACAGGGCAATTAGTCAGATGGGGTTAAAGGTTTCAGAACTGTAGGATTTGAGGGTTCCAGGCCTGGAGGTCTTAGAGTAGGGGTTTAAAATGTTGCCTCCTGCGGTTTGGCCTAGGATTCAGAGTTTGGGACATGGTCGAGGGTACTTCTAGAGTTCAAGACCTTTGGTTAGGGCGCAGGGTTGAAGCAGGTTTAAGGGCTAGGATATTCAACATTCAAGGGGTTGTGATTCTAGGTCAGGCGTGCTGCAAGTTGATGGTGGCTTGGGATCAGGTCTGTGCTTTTCGCTGGAATTTTGGCATTCGGGGAAGGTTTCTGGGCTTCTGGACGTACAGGTTCTTGGCGGTGCAGGGTTTCCGGCCTGTTGCATTTTTGCTTGGGCTTCGATTTACATGGAAACCTCTCGCATGCGAGCTGCATAATATCGTTTTGCACCACGCCGTATATCGACTTGCCGCAAGTGCCACAAGAGATGCTCAGACACTCTACAACATATCCAGCACATCCCAGTACCTTAATGTAAGCCCTTTAAGCCAGAGCTACAAGCGAAACCCTGAATCCAGGCTCTAGTTAATGATTGAGAATGCCAATAAAACTGGTGCTAGAAATAAGGACAACAAGGATAATAGAAAAAATAATACATAAAAACAACAATAATTAATTTGAGCGCAGGTGCTTCTGGAAGCTCCAAGGGCAAGAGCCCATCCCGGCACACCTGGAGTAGACTTAGCTTAGGGTTTCGGCTGGATTGGCGATGTCGTCACGAGTATAGGATTATAGTACATTCTTGCGGTTTTTGGCATGTTATGTCAATGTATACTATGGTATGCTATATAGTCTGTGATGGTATCTTATGGTATGCTACCTAACCCTGCAAACAATCTCTCTCTAGGATAGGATCTCCTGAGACCTGGGTTCTCGGAGGAGGAAGGGCGGAGCCCGGGACAACTCGGACCCCGGTCTTGAAACTGCTTGCTTTGAGGCTTTGTGTCAACCCTCTCAGGGCTGAGGGTTTCGGGTCAAACTCCAAACGCCACACTCTAGCAGCACCTCAACATCGCACCAACACGAGCCAGCTTGTTTAGTCTGCAGAATGCAGGATTGAGGCTGCACATCCGGCTTTCTCCCCTCCTTCACACCAGCTTTGTAAATCCGTCAGATTTCAACACTTCCGGAAAGATGCACCCGATATGTCAAGCGCCCATGGAGCTCATCGCTTTAGGTTTTTACGGTTTGCATAGTTGGGGTGAGCTTCAGTGTATACTGTAGGGCTTCAGGGTTTCGGGCCTGACAGTATGGTTCAGGGCGAGATGCAGGAGGCGTCGCCATCATTTGGAAGCGCAGAGGGAAGTGGCAAACCTTCAGCAAAGGTCTCAGCTTTGATGAGCTTCTTCTACCAAACGCATTTGAAACTCAATGACACCTGAAAACCTATTTCGGACCGGTGGGCTCGAAACTTACTGATGCATGAAATCAGAAACCCTTGTGAGAAGGGGCTTCCTGCAAACTTTGCGGCTCCTGCCCCAGACTGCAATTTGCAAACCTCTGCCGCGACGTAAGATGGTGCATGTGAGTGAGAAGACCGCAGCAGTGCAGATGTGCCTCCCTTACTTACCATGACCAGCCGTCAATCCTGTACCTGCAAGACAGACGCGAAATCCCCGGACGCGACTCAACCTCCGCACCCTAAACCTTGCATGCCCTACCCCTCAAACCCGAAACGGTATGTGAGCTGCAACGGAGGGAACTTCGGTGGACTCTAGCGAGAAAGTTTAGGGTTTTGGGTTTAGCAAGCTGCTTCGCCGTGGCTGTGAATGTGCCGCTTGTCTGGGCTTGGGCCGGTTTGGCAATGTTTAGGATGCAGCCCTTATTCTGCCCTCCACCTCTTGCCCCTATAGGGCTTCAGTTTGGGAGCATGTTGACGTGCCGTCGGCAAAGCTCCAAAGGCTTCTCCCGAACAATCTTGTTGCAAGGTTGCTCCCAAACTCAGGGCTCCTCGGCATGCCCCGACAACAACTTCCTTTTCCAGCCGTAGTCTCAGGACGGACACCCCTGCTAGATGTACCTGCCACCACCAATGCTAACTCGGACAATCAACAGGGCGAAATTCGAGGGTATGGACATTTTCGCTATACAATGCTTTTGAGTGTTTACCTTGTCCCTACAGTAAGTGGAAGGCACCCGTACCGAAACCGTATCCGTTGTAGAAGCTTGTAGAAAGCTATTACGACTCTACGAAACGCAATGAAACCCGCTCAGCCCCGCCTCAGGGAAAGGTCTTTGCGTGAGCGGTGCATAGAAAATCGAGGGAGCCAGATACCTCGAAACTGCGGAGATCTCGGAGATTTAGGGTTTTTAATATTTCGTGGTTAGGAGGGGATGACACTTTGAGCATCAGGATCCCACACCCTGTATCCAAGACTGCTTATGCAATGACCGTATCTCGGAACACAGAACACAGGATTGCGGCAACCTAGCCCTAACACGCTATCAGCCGCAGAATCCCGGAGCTCACGGCACAAATGCAAAGATAACCCTGATGATGCACGAATGTTTCAAGTCCTCGCGGGGTAGGTAGGGCTGCGGGTTACAGTCGGCAAGCCGCGGACAATGCCGTCAAGATGCCGCCAGGAGAAGAGTGGAATGTGCCAGGTGGTGGCTTCCTCTGCGAACCAACAAGATAAATGTACCATAAGGTGAGGCTCGGTAACATCTCAAAGATTCTTGGGTGGGGAGTGGGTTCAGGGTCTGGAGATCAGTGGTTATGGTGATACAAACGAGGCCATGTCCGGACTATCTATCTAAGAATCTACCTACCTGCCTTCCGACCTTCCCACGTTCCTGCCTTCCTACCTACCTGCCTCCCTATCGGTTGCCAAGATGCCGCGAGGCTGTAACGCACGTGTACTACTCAAGGTCTGGAAATCTGTCAGGCCATGTCAGCTCAAATCTCGAGTAAGTTGGGTACTCGGCGTCTTATCGAGCCTACCGAGGCTACCGCTGCCTCGGAAATTTAGCGGGGATTGAGCCCTTCTGACAACCAGCCGGGTCACACTTTTAAAGAAGAAGACTCGGATCATGAGGCGGCGTAGTTATTTAATTCTACGTAAGCTGTCGCACTTCGGGACTCGCCCGAAAGCCTTTCAGAAGCCCAGGAGCTGTGGTGAACACTGCCAAGATCAGGTGCTCGTCGAACCTGCAAAGCCCTAGCAACCTAACCACATGTCCATGGCCCGGTTGTTTTTGGAGGACGGCGAGGACATGATAAGCACGGTCACATGTCAATGAGGGCTTGCAGGAAAGGGTTTTACGCTTTTTGGGTCTGGGATTAGAAGTCTCGAGATTAGGTTGACGATGTGGGACCGCTTCTGACCGCATGCCGTGCTCAGGGTGGAGCTCGGCTCTCTGAAAATCGGCACCCTCTAGATTCTGACTCAGACTTCTGTCAGATTTTGCCGGGTCCAAAATATTTTGGCTTCCCAGTGCGCATGCAGATTCGTTGTTTTGGTTGCTTTGCCGGTTTAGTCGGCGGAGCGAGATCTACCCCTTACCGCCCACTTGCAGAGACTGTAAGTGGGCGACGAGAAGATCCAGAGGAGAGGGTAGGGGGCTTAATTAAGCAGGGCATTGGAACTATGGCTTGGATTGCGACTAGGACAACAAGCTCTAAAAGACAACAGGACAGGACCCCGCTTCTCTCTGAAGCCGAGCAGCTCGAGCTGCTGCGGTCCGCTCCAGACGCCATTCCAGGAGAAACGAGCCTGGGTTCTACAATTAAGTTCAAGGCTTCTTGCCTTGTAATGAGCTGGGACTGCCAGTCGAGCCTCACGCTTCAGGGTTTGGGATTTACGGTGGGTTCTGGGATAGAGAGGTCTATAGGATTGCTTTTTGGCCGAGGGTCGACTGGGTCTTGGGTAGTTGAGCTCCGGGTTTCGGGGTCTAGCACGGAATGTCCGGTGGTCTGGGGCGTAAGGACTGGTGAAGATTGTATGCTTTCTAACTTGTACCCTTGTCTCCCGAGCATGACCTCCCAAGTCACAGCGCTGCATTGCTACTCGATATCAATATCCTTCCTGAAGCCTGACCCCCTCCACGGCTTAGTCCCAAACCAGAATCCTCACACTTGCAGCTTGGTTTCCCGAAGCCTAACTCCCCAAAACTCGAACGAAGGGCCCTTGCGACACTAAGCCACGACCACCCCGATCTAAGCTAGAGAATTAGGTTTTCCAACAGGGCTAATCCTCGCACCCACAATCCCTTGCAGCTTTAGTTCCGAAAGCTGAACTCCCCAAAGCTCGAAGGAAGGCTCCTTGCGACACTAAGCCACGAACACCCGGATCTAAGCTTGGGGTTTAGATTTGCGAACTTTGGGTTCAGGGTTTGCATATTTTCTGCAAAGTTTGTTCACTACCGCTTTCATTGCTTGAGGCTTCAAGGCTTAGGGTTCATAAGCGGCTTCGCCGCAACATCCTGCAACCTAACCCAGGACGTCCCTAACGAACCGGGCAGCTCCCTAACTTCAACCGCACAGTACCTCCATTTTCTGCCAGCAGCTTCGGCAAGGCCCTCGCCCACGAACCGCACCGCAAGCCCTGGCTTCATTGAGTGATATTCTGTCTGAAGGCTTTCGGAGTATGAGCCTTTGGCTTTCACTTTCGGGTTCCATGTTGCAAAGTATTCTTCGGGTTAGAGGTTAAAAGGTTTCGGACCAGCAAATGTAAGCCTTCGAGCTTAGGCTTAAGCCCAAGACCCACGCTTTTTTGTTTTTTTCCGGACGTGTACCTATTCTGCAGTACTGCCCTTGTAAAGTCTCTGTGCTGCAGAAACTATATGGCTGAATATTGAGACTGCCTGCTGCAAACCTGGACACGTCAATACCCAACCCCACGCCGTGAGCTCTCTGCACGCTGGATGATGGTACAAAACTCGAAGAGACCAAAGAGGATGCATGAAGACCCAGACAGTCTTCGCAGAAGGTTGAAGAGGCAGCCCGCCTATGTAGCCGGCCTCAGAGCCACCTGCGCTTGCATTTTTTGCACTTCGGGTGTTTTTTTTTTCGGCTTTCTGCTGCTTGCTTTCTGTGTCATGGAGATGACCCTTTGAGCACTAACTTGAACACCAGGCACCTACATGTACGACCATGCTCGTGTGTGCCTCGGCCTTCAAGTGTGCCTCAGTAGCCTGCGTTTTTCCATTCCCACACCTGAATGAAGAGACACTGTCCGCCCCGTAATCCAAGCACTACACGATGCCGTATTGCACCGCAGCGCCAAACTGAGAGCATGGGTCAACGAGTACAGCGACCCAATTGCTGAAACACAGTCCGATGTATTCTTCTGCACACCTAAGTGCTTGCATGCTGAGGACATAAAACGGTAACTCATCAAACCACATGGGAATTGACCGCGAGCCTGGCGTTGACAACCTGGGCGTGTGCGGCATTTAGGCAATAAGGCAAAAGAACTCGGCCTGAGGGTTCACATGGCTCATACCGCTTAGGGCAACTGTAGAAATCAAAACGTACACTACACTACAGGCATATATGCATGCTGCATGCATGCTCACATACGTGAACAGACCGGTGATGTATGGATATGTCCATGGATGTCCATGGTGTCGCTCACCGGTACCGAAGATTGAACCCTCAAATCTCTGACCCCCAAGCCCGACGCTCTACCTCCTAGAAAGACAGGGAAGCTGCATCAATGACGTAAGCAGAATCATGAGAAGCTGACTCTGATGTCTGACTGGGACATTCATTTTACTAGCTATAGCCCATCATACGTCTAGAAAATGTTATACATGGCAACTACTTGATGTTTGCATGATTGCTGTGAGTCGTTTAGGTGTGGGGCAATTTACAGTCTGTGCGCCACTTGAGCACCGGCAAACTCTTCTAATCGCTCCTGGAAGCGGCAAGGAGGCTAAGGCCCCTGAAGTTCTGAAGCCTACATCCCAACCTTAAACCCCTGAACGGTTGAAGGCTTAGGCGCAGGGCTGTAGGGTTCGTAATGCAGCCCAAACCCTCCAAACCGTATGTACATGCACTGGAAGGGACAAGCTCTCAGCAAGTTCTTGAACAAGTCCAGCTGCCATTGGTGCCCGGGTTCCGTAGGACCCCAGGAAGCATCCACGAAACCAGCGACCTACTCATCACCGGCTCTCGGGTTTGGCACTACTGAGCCTATGAAGTTAGGGGGGGTTCGGGTTTCCCAAGAATTTTTTGGTGTTTTAGATCGCTTCCGCCAGACTTAGGGGTTTAGCCCCGTGTTTACAGTGTCGGATTTGCCTGTTGCCGAACACCCATCATCAATGAGATCACACTCTGATTCACTTCAACATTCGATCCCCCCAGAACTTCCAAGCAGGTATCTGCGTGCACGGTGTTTAGTTCCCCCGAATCAGGGAGTCTTACTCACGGATGGGAAAAGACTTGAAGGGAGGGGGACTAAGTTCGGGCAGTCCTACCTCAGCTCCGGTCTCCACACCGATCTCAAGGTAGTAGGCACCAGACCTCTGCATTCGATTCAGCAGTGCTTGAGTGGGGGCGTACTGCCCGAGCGCGAGGGACGATATACATTGTCATCCCGCTCAAGCTGTCCTCGAGGTTGTAAGCATTTACCGTAAGCCCCTTCATCGCATGCCAAGCCCGGCACTAGGCTACCGACCCAGTCATCGGTGCCATCAGTGTCGGCCCCATCCCGATCTAGACATTTTGGAATCTGTCATGGCACCCTGTCTGCCACCACTCAAATGCCAGCCCCGGAATATGCGACAGTACCATAAATTCGTAGCCCTAAACTGTCTCCAAACCCTACGTTGCGCAGGCCTGGCTAGCTGGTCCCTCAAAAGTTCAAGTTCACACAAAACAAACCCAAATGCTCTGAGGTTCAGGCACCATGCGGTTGTCGGGCATGCCTACCTGGTGGCTTCAATGATTAGCCTTGTTATACGGAGGTGTTCTTTCAGTTTGCAGGTTCCCTACCACGGTGGCTGTTAGGGCGCAGTTCGCAACCAGGGCTCCGGGCTGAAACTCTGTGCTGTACATCCCAAGCCGCCCATGCCACCATCTCAAGACGCAAAACTGCATCTCAAAGCCCTGAGGCCTTAAAAGTCCTCAAGAAAACTACAGTCCACTGCTACCCCAAGGTCCGAAGCCAGAACCAACCCGAACTCGGCAGCCCGAGCTCTCCAAAAAGCCTGAAGCACCCCATGAATACCGGCCGCCCTCCAAACCTCAAGCCTCAAACCTTATAGACGAAAGTACACCGAACCCTGACACCCGCAGGCTTACCAACGGAAACGGCCCTAAACCCATCCAACAACCCTAAGCCCCCAATCTTGAAGCTTTCAATTGCCACAACAAGTCCCAATTTCCTGAGGCTCCCGGCCACTCCAGGGGAAAGCTCGACCAACCTGGTAGCTGGGGGCTTATATCGGTATGCTATAGCTGGAATCACCGTACGGGAACTGTGAGGGGATTGAAAGGGGATACTACATCCCGATGTTCTATCATATATACAAACATACATATTTACATATGCATATACATACACATATGAAAATACATACAAATTACATGAACAAGCGCAAGCATACATAATCGCGCACGTGCATACATGCATGCATGCATAAGCACACAAAACAAGATCATGTAACAAACTGTTTGCACATATATATATATATATATATATATATATATATATACATATATACACACATGGAGGTGATGCAAGATGATATCAGCTAGTCTGACAAGGATACAATGAAAGACATGAAAAAATGCAGTCATATGTAAGATAACACCAGATAAGATAGCATATTTAGATAATAGGATAGTATGTTTAGATAATAAGATAGTATGTTTAGATAGAAAGATAGTATGTTTAGAAACTAAGATAGTATGTTTAGATAATAGGATTGTATGTTTAGATAATAAGATAGTATGTTTAGATACTACATACCACAGGTTTCAGAAATTTGGATCCGAGCCGAAAGGCTCCGAGCAGCCGCGGAAGCGCCGATCCGCTTGGGCCAAGGTGGTGGAGGAGGTGGTGCTGCCGCCTTTAACTTACCGTTGGTTAGTAGGGAATGGAAGAATGGTAGTAATAGTAGTTATAATTGTAACCCATTCCTCCATTCCCTACTAACCAACGGTAAGTTAAAAGGGGGACAACGGGGGGTTTACTTTCCTGTGGTGTTTAAAAGGGGACAGCGGGGGGCTTACTTTCCTGTGGGGTTGTTGGGGGCTTCAGGTTCTTTTGAGAGCGGTGGAGCTTAGGCTTAGTTGTTTGTTAGCTGCTGCTGCCGCATTTGAAGGATTTTGGCTTAGAATTTAGGGTTTTGGGTTCGGGGTTCAGGGATCATGAAGGTTTCCCGTTTGAATGAGTGCGGCTGTAGGGCTTTAGCAGTTTGGTGATCGTTCGCTGTCTTTTAAACTGCGGCTTCGTGCTCTGTTGTCACTTCAGGGACTACCGAAGCCGCCACGATGTAGGATGCTGTTGCAGAGGACCTTCAGCACAATGGGCCTCCCAGTTCTGAGAAGTTTTCTCCAAGGCGCGGCTTTCGCAGGGCACCTCCGGTGAAGTGCCATTCAGCTCGTCCTTTGACGGTTTTCACGATTAGGGCTACCATAAGGGTTATATACTACCATGGTAACCTCAGGTCCTAATAACAGGTTCCAGGAATTGCGATGAAGAGCGCAACAAATTCTCAAAGCCCCGCTTAAAGGATCGTTCTGTCGGCTGCTCGGCTTGCAAACGCTGCGAAAACCGTTCTGGTAGTCTATATACTTCATTTTACACACTACAGTTAAAGTGTGTGTGCCATACACGATACGCTCCAGACTTTATTAAGCATTGTTGGTCTGTTGGAGACTTTTAAATACAAACTCTGCGAGCTTTGATCCTGAACTTCTCCTTTTCGACCCTTATTACATTGGTCCATAACCCTGCCCTTAATCCCTAGATCTCGTGCTCGCGGTCCGAGGTCTATGCACTCCTCTGCCAGACGAGGTCTCTTGGTTACTTGGTTGGTTCGCTTTCTTACTAGGCTCTCAGGTTGGCTTACATGCACGCCCTTTGAAGTCCACGATCTTCTGATCTAGAAGCCGGCTTGTACGGTCTTTGCACTCTCTGGAACCGACTGGGGCAAACACCGTCAAGACTGCTTTCACTGAGACATCGAGCCCGAAAAGGCACCCCGTGCAAGCCTTGTAAACCCACAGGGCGCTGTCGAGCCGGTGCAAACACAAACCATAGGAGCTTGTAACAGCAAATCTATCAAAATTGTTCAAGTGCCATCCGTGACGAAAAACCTCACAACACCTCAACTAACTCTCGCAATAACATGATTCACCCTGAACGCGAAACCGAAATCCTGGTAGTACTCATGCAGGCCCTGATAGACCACTAGCCGGCTAGGGTCGCAGAAGATGACTTCGGCCGTGCAGACAGTACTGCGGAGCTCGGGCCAGGCAAGGCCATCACAGGTGAGGTTCATCAAGCCTGCCGGCTTTCTGTTAGATTTGGGAGTCTCTTTCACTGAGGAGGTCACACTGTATGGAACATGCTAAAGTTCGACAGAGGGTGCAAGTCCGAAACAACCTGCTTCTCCATTCGATCGCTTGAAACACTCGCAACTCGGACTTGCCAAACATTCGATCGCATTAGGGAATAGGGTGTGGGACGTGCCTGCGTTTCTGTAGCAGGACCGGGGTTTCATTTTCCAAAGGCCTGGCCGACCATGCCAGATTTTGGCGTAGGTTTTAGGAAATCCATTCTATGAGAAATTACCTGAAATTCGAGTTCAGGATTTCAACGTCATGAATCTTGGAAGTTCAAGTTCTCAAAGTTTTGCTAGGGTTTATGCAGGCTGCGAGTTGGAAGTTGGCGGCTTTTGAGGTCGCAGGGTTCGAACAGCGTTCGTGCGGGGTTTGAACAACGCTCAGGTAGTGCCTTAGCATCTTCGAAACCGCTCTTCGGATGGGTTTGGTCAAGTCCTACGTTGGGTCCACAGTGCTGTTTCTGCAAGGTTTCCGCTTGTTTGGCATGTGACTGTTGTTTCAATGTTCAAGCCTTGCTACTGATTTTTGGAAAAAAAGAAGATAAACAAAGTGAAGACGGCATTGTTGCCGTGAGGCGCTGATGATGGCCATGACGACCACTGTGACAATGATGACAATGATGACATAATGAAAACTGTATACACTATCATCGTTATCATTTCCGGTAGCAAAGGTACTGGTCCTGGTGACCAGCGGTACAACTAAAGGAAACGCTACTGTCGTGGCCGCCACGAACACAAACGATTTCGACTGTAGCATATGTAGGTCTTAGAAGTGGTTGGAATTGTGGTGTTCTCGTTTCCATGTTCTTTGAAGGCAAGGGCTGAGCATGGCACAATGTCTCTCCGTGCATTTCCGTGGAACATTGCACTTTTCGGTTCAGGGTTGCGCCCACACACATCGTGTAGAGGTGACAGCATCGCGATGGTTCGTTCTAAATCTGCCCAGGACACTTGCAACCCCATGGCTTCTCCCCATCCTCAAGACAATGCCAAGGGATCGAATCCCCGGCAAGCAGCAGCAGCAGCAAGCCATCCCAATGAGATCGAGCTGTAAACCTCTAAGCCCAGCCTCTCTCTCAACCCCAAAACTTGAAAACCCCTGAAGCATCAGCGCTTCAACCCTCGAACCATCTCTGCCCAGCCTTCTTTCTCGCAGGGCACGCTGCAGTTCTCACCCTGCTCCAGACCTTGTGTTTTGACGCGTGGGATAAGGGCATTTATCCGTTTAGCCCTTAAGCCTACAGCTTCTTAACGATTGCGAAATGGGCTTCAGGGTTGACAGGCTCGGGCTTTGACGTCCCAGGATACTTTTTCCCTCCTACTTGGCAAGGACAAGGCCCGCATTGCAGGGTACTTGGTTGAACCAGGGCTCGGGGTTTAGAATTGGTTTCGGAATGTTTCGGGCTCCCATGCAGATTTGAGTATTAACCTTGATTACTCAATCCCCAACAATGAGCTCAGCGTTCTTGACCTGGGTCATATTTCTGTCACAATAGCTATTGCTACTTCGGGTGGTACTGCTGAGCTGTACTACTGCCACTGTAAGAACTATCCTCGTTATTCGAGTGATTGTGCTTCTTCTCGGCCACCAGAGTACTGAAGGCTGCCTTACTGTGAGCATAAGGGCCGACTGCATTGAACTTCTACGGACTACTACTCCGCGGCAGATCAGCCTTTTCCGCATCCTACCTACGTGCTGGAGGGGCTTTCAACCGGAACCGCTTAAAACTCTAGACTCTATACCTTCCGCCGAACCGTTCAGAGCCCACAGCCTGTAGGAGCTTGCCAAATGCCGTAGCCGTCAAGTTCCCAACTGCTCAACCTCCGTCTACACTGCTTAAGAGACACTCCCAAACTCCTCTACTAAGGAATCCACCTCAAACCACCAGAGGACAACCATAGTTCTGCCACGGTTTTACGTTCCCTTCTTGAGCTCAGACTTTCTGTTGTCAGAGGAGCGGGTTCGGCCATCACAGGCCTCCGGCGACGAAACCAAGCAGCCTGTGACCTTTGGCTTCATGTTCCACGAGTTCGGATTTCGGCTCACAGCAGATGGCGACTGGCTTTTTGAGGCCTTGCTGTCGGAGTTGGTTTCAGAACAAGCGTCAGCTTGGTGCATACGCAGCATTTGTATTCAAGCACCGGACGGAAGCAAAGAAGACACAGGTATTACATATGTATGCATGCATGCATGCATGCATGTATATGTACATACATACACACATACAAGATTGTATACTTATCGAGAGAGAGAGAGAGAGAGAGAGAGAGAGAGTGAGAGTGAGAGAGAGAGAGAGAGAGACAGAGCGAGAGAGAGAGAGAGAGAGGCAGAGAGCAAAACAACAAAACGGTTGCAACTGCGTTGCATACTTTTCCAAAAAAGTGGCGTTGGTAATGGTACCCTACATAGTACATACTTTGGCCCTGCCCTAGAGCTACTACATGGGAGTGTCTAAAGCCGTCTAATAATTGCTAGTCTCTCCAGTCTGGCCCGGCTCATGAAACTCTCCAGAATCGCCATAACACCTGTATACAAGCCCATGGAACCCTGGGGAAAAAGGAAAAACCTATAAATCCCTTAATTACGGAGTATGGCTTGAATTACATAGGGCTTCATCTTATGATTTAAGCTATATTCCTTATTTATGCCTATTCTAAGTCACATCAGTCGCAGGGCGCAGGGGAAACCAGGACAGGTCGGCAGGAAGTCGTAGCCCCGCCCTCTCTCGCCGTCTGGCTGCCAGTCCTGGCCCACAAAACTCGAGGGCCCTGAGACTACCGAACTAATCTTTAGTTGCAGTCGATAGTAAAAGTAAAAGTAGTAGTAGAAGTAGCAGCCGCAGCAGCAGGAGCGGGAGCACGAGCAGGAACAGGAGCAGCAGCAGCAGCAGCAGCAGCAGCAGCAGCAGCAGCAGCCGCAGCCGCGGCAGCAGCAGCAGCAGCAGCAGCAGCAGCACTTCTTGCGCGTGCTATCCTGAACTTCGCACTCCGGGATTCACCATGACAAACTACCCTGGCCGAAAAGGAACAGCAACGGCTCGACTACCAGCTTTTCATAGAACTACTGAAGAATGCGGGTTCGAAGAACATGCCCTTCCGTTTCATGTTGTCATGACACTTATGCAGCGACGTCATCCCTTTTCTGGCATCCGTGACCATGTATGGACAAGGGACAACACAAATCGGAATCTGCACCCCAAGCCTGAAACTGCAAGAATAAACATAGGACTGCATTGGATTTACGTTCTTGGGCCGTAGGGCTGAAGTTTTGGGGACCAAACGGGAGCCAGGGTGCCTCCTGCAGGCAGTCGTAAGCTGTGGCTCCTGCCATCGGCACCTGAAGTTTGGTTGAACGGTTGATGATAAAAATCCTGCATGACCCATAATAAGGAAAATACAATAATTCCCATAGTTTAGGGTCATTTAAGGCAATGAAGGATTTACATCATCAACCGATTCTCTCACCGTCATGAAATCCAAACGAGGTCCATGGGTTGATTGGTACTGCCCTTACCCTGAACCATGGAAATCACTACATTGATTATTCCAATGCTGCAAGGCTCAAATGTGGACCGCGCATGCAAGTGAGTGAGCACGGCATTTAATAATTTATTGCTGACCGAAGAGCTACCTCGGCTCCGAAAGCCGGGGCTTTGCAATTTGACACAGTCAGCTATGGCTTCACGGATCCGTGCTGTCATGATGACGAGGATCGACGATGTCGATGGTGAGGATGGTGTTGAAGTTGACCATGATGGTGGTGGTGGTGGTAATGATGATGATGATGATGATGATGCTGGCGATGGTGTTGATGCCGGCTACGGTGACGATCCCGATGCCTGCGCCGATGATGCATAAGATGATGGTGATACGAACAATCACGAAACAAGTGCACTCAAGCGACCAGGGTTGCTCTTGTCCAGGCCTCCTCCGGTGCGAGGGGATGTAAAATTCGATCGAGCTTAGGATTATGCCTCGTGTTATGGCTTTGGGAGTGCGGTGCAGGGCGCTTGGGTTCTAGGTCATGTCGCTTGGGGATGGGAGCCCCGCGCATCCGGAGTCTCCTGCAATAGACCAAAGGTACCTTCGCACGCAACGGCAGAGGCCTAAGGCCAGCACAGTGCAGTTAAAATGACAAAGGTCAAACCTCGCTGATCCTTAAGGCTGGAGCCCTGACTTCCGACCTGTGGAACAATGCAGCTACTAGTATATATTTCGTAGATTCCTCAAGGACCATAGAACAATGTTTACAAGGGCCCAACCAAGAAAGTCGGCTCTGGCAGGTTAATCTGTGCTGCGACGGTTCAGATCTTCCGCCGGTCCTGCCCGTCTGAACTCCACCCATAGACCTGGTTCAGGAGGCAATCTTTCTCTGGCTTGTCCAACGGCCCCCCCCAAAAGTGTACGATTACGTACCTCTACAAGACCACGAGAGAATTGAAAGGCATTCCAAAGATTCATGGTCGACGGTTGAGGGATCACAGTTGAAGGCTTTGACGATCATGGCTTGCAGGTGCCGCAACCTTCCGGAGGCTAATGGGATTTAGGTCGGGGCTTGGAGTGCAGAGTTTACGGCCCGACTTCAGGCTTCCATGCGACAAACATGGTACTATTATTATTGCTATTATTATTATTATTATTATTATTATTATTATTATTCAAAAACCCTAACCATGAACCGGGTGCTTCAACCCCAAAGCCGACTTGCAACCTGAACCCGATCAGCATTGAAAGCTGGGTCTTTACTGGCTTCTGCCCAAGGCTCATAAGGGCTTTCCTTTACAAGCATCAACCCAGGATTCTCACACCAAAATCTCACACCCGACGAAACCCCAGACGAAGACCTGATCCCAAGCCCTGTCATGGAACAAAGTTCCAAAACACGGTACGTGCATATTCTTCCAAGCCCTGAACCCCAAACAAAGCGCCTTCCCACAATACTCCCACAGGCAAGGAACCCCGACAATCTCAAGGGCTTACAGGGCCTCAACCGCAAAATAAACCAAACGAGCCGCCCAACGAACTCAAACCAAAAAACACCCCAAAAGCCCGAACCCGCCGAGGAGCCACTGTGGCATTGCCGGAGATGGGATCGCTTTGGAGGATGACCGCCGGGAAGGATGGGGAGGGATCGCAGCCAGGATGCCTGCTTGAGGGTTCTAGGATTCGGGCGGGTGATAGGGTCGTAGGCTTTGGACTTTAGGATTGTGGCGTTTGGGTGTTAGGGTTGTGGGTTTGAGCAATATACGGTTTAGCTAAGCGTAGAGCTTTACGGCGCTGGTGTCCCAAAGCTTAGGGTTTCAGGGCTTTGAAGGCGGAGCGCCTGGCTGCAGGGACTGTATAATACTGTGCAGGGCCTCAGTTTCGGGTTTTCGGATTGCGGGGTGAGGTGAGTTCAGAAATCGTGCAGAAATCAAAGGGCTGAGGCACGGTGTTGAGGCTGATGCTTTGGGCCTTTGGGTTGGGCTGAACCCGAGCCTCACACGAACTTCAAACTCTGGGAGCCCCAGAACGGGAAAGTCAGATTTTCTCCCTTACCCTAAACCCTAAACCCATAAACCAGAACGCCGAGCTGCAGTAGGACTACCACGGACGAGTCCGCACAGCGAGCGCTGAGCTCCAGGTCCAACCGCACTTCCCCGACGAAGTCCTTGGGAGGAGACCGAGGTTCGTCTACAGTAAAACCCAAAGGGTTCCAGTACCAATATAGTAGGTATTTGGGCCCCGAAAGTATATACTATACCAATACTTGGACCCTTTGGGAAGGGGGCTGTTGACTTTAATCAGCTTTTTGTCTGTGGCGGCAGCGGCGGTGGTGGAAGTGGTGTACGAAACTGTTTCGAGCTGTGTAGACTTTGTGTCTGTTGGAAGGGCCTCATGGGACTTGGCCCGTGTCCGGGCTAGTATATGTGCATACTTCGAGAAGTTACGGTCCTAGCCTGACTGGTTATAGAGGTCTCTGCATCGCATCGATGATCGCCGCGGCATGGGGTCCAGGAAGGAACAGCATCGCGGGGGAATGGCCATCCTGACAATCCTAAACTGGAAGATTCACGCCTTGTCGAGCGAGGTCTCTCTGAAGTACCTGTTCTTCCCTGAAGCCAAGACCTTCTATCCTCAAAAAGCGAACAATGAAACACTGACATATGATGGGGTAGAAGGTCTAAGACCTAGGGCAATATGCGGCTCACCAGTCGAGATCGGATTGATGTGCCTTCATCTTGTTGCGAAGAGTCGAAGGACATTCATTTGTCATTACTAGGGCTCCTTGCTTGCAGTCTCGAGATTGCAGGGTTCGGGGAATCGCAACGAAGAGTTCGGTGTAGCAAAGTGGTTGTACTGAGCTGGTGCCATCCCAGGCGCACTCCACGTGAGGGGCCACAGCCAGAACAGGGCCAGGCTCTTCACTAGGACCATCCATTCCTGGCATTGTTGGGAGGAAGAGCACTTGAAGGTGGAAAGGGGCTCGTCCCACTAGACATGGAACCCAAAACTCCCTCGGGTGGGCGGCCCTTTCTCCAATATCCAGGGATATCGAAGCTCAACCCTTAGTAGTTGTAGTTGCTAAACATCGGCACACGAGAATGCTAAGTGGGAATTGGGGACGCCAGACAACCACTTGAGCCCATAGCCTTCCAAACGGTTCTTACGTGGGCCGTTTGCTACCCCGTGAAACTTGCTACCAAAGTAACATTTCCGTCTTCCGACATCACCTCTGCATGTTCCTACCTGTCCTGCACTGTTACCAAAAACTCAGTTCTTCTCTGCTTACTTGCAGCGCCGAATTCCTGTTCCGGGGTTGAGGGCTACAGGTCCGGGGTTCCAGACAAGCATAGCTGACATGAGAAGCAAGACACAACAAGGCGACAGGGGTAAGAAGATTCGATAATAGCTTCTTTCAACACATCGCACAAGCAGCACGAATAATCGAGCTCATAGCGGCGCAAGTGTGTCGAGTTAAGTTCCGGCATCCTTTTTGCAGTAGACGCAGCCAAAACGAACTCACGGTGCCCCCTGCATTCAAGCATTTGCGAGACGACCCTGGTATCACATTGAATATATGATTCAGGCATATGAAACTTCTTTCACTATCCTTGGCGAACCGGTCTCTGAGCACATGGCAGACTTGGACGCTCTTTTCCCGTGCCGGAGTTGGTCCGTTAACTCCGTCAGACACTATCAAAGCTTGAATCCTGGGTTGCCTAGCTCTGAGCCGTCGTCTGCTCGATCGCCAGGACACTCTGGATCACGAAGCTCGCTGTAGACTTTCAGCAGTGCGAGCCATTCAAGTCAAGCGCAGGTAGCTTGCTGGCTCCAGTATGTGTGCGGCGTCGTTGTCCATCGTTGTTCCTCCAAAGCAGACTTTGCAAGGCTTCATGTCCTTGTATTGCAGTGAACCATGTGGTCGATCGACCTCCCACTCGGCAGCAAATCTGTGATGCCAGGCCATTCTAGAAGTTCTAGGGCGGTCGGCAGACACACTTTCCATCAAGGATCCGCACCCCTGCGCAGTCGGAACCTTGGATGCACAAGTGCGCCCAACACATACTTCAGATCTTTCCTGACAGGGTCTGATGTGTCTTCGCCGTCAGGTGCCCAAAGTCTTATATGAGGGCAGCATCTTTTTGAGGACCGAACTATCAAAGCTCAGCTTACATGTTGAACAGCTCCCGAAAAGCCGAGGCCGCTGAATGTGCCAGCGGACTTAAACACGAAACCCCTCAAATCTCGTACCACCACTAGCAAGTGGTAGAAGCGGTCTCGCTAGTGCTTGCCCAAGCGACTGGCGCAGGCCTGCAAGACAAGCAGCACTCAGAAAACAACACAAATTGACACATGAAGTTTTGAGGATCCTGTCACTTCTCGAGGGGCCAGTCTTCCCAGACATCTTTCCAAGGCCCGAGATTCAGACCCTAACCTCGGACCCTCAACTCCGACCCATTGTCTCACTACTGAAACTGGACCTATCTCTTTCCACTTTCGACAGTTCTGCGAGCATTCCTTTCGAACTCCATGGCTGGAACCTGTGATGCTTCGAGGGGTCTTTGTGAAAGCGAATGAAGCCGGGTTCCGATTCTCCGAGAGGATGTGTTTACGCTTGAACAATTTCAGGACATGGACCGATATGCCGTCCAGGTCTCAGCCCCATCAAAATACTTGCGCGATCTGGGGAGGATCGTGACAACGACGACCCCTAGCTTGGGACCCTAGTTGCTGAGAAACCCGGAGTAGCCACCATGTCTGCCTGACGACTTGCATTGAAATAAACAAGCTAAGATGAAGCTCAAACAGCTCCTGACTCTGTGAATCCCAGAGCGTACGCCGGGTAACCCCTATCCCCTCGGTGGGGTTGCTGACGGGCGGAGGTTGCTGACGGGCGGAGTGGCGGACCCGACCAGGGGGGGGGCGGGGTAGCTAGATAGATAGTTAGCATCTGACGGGCGGAACCCGTCGGCAGAAACCTCTAACCTCTAACCCGTGGGTACTTGACGGAGATAGATAGTAACAGTATCTGACGGGCGGACGGGTGCAGGTTGCTGACGCCCGGAGGGCGGATAGCCGACGGGCGGAGGGCGGAGGTTGGGCGGGTAGCTGATGGGCGGAAGTTGGTGATGCGCGGGGGGTGGGTAGCTGACGGGCGGAGGTTGCTGACGCGCGGAGGGTGGGTAGCTGACGGTGCTGACGCCAAGAGGGGCGAACCCGACCAGAGAGGGGGGGGGGGTGTCAGATAGATAGTTAGTATCTGACCGGCGGAAACCTGCAACCCGCCGGCGGAAACCTCTAACCTCTAACCCGTAGCTACTGGACGGAGATAGATAGTATCTGACGGGCGGAGGTTGCTGACGGCCGGAGGTAGCTGACGCGCGGAGGATGGGTAGCTGACGGGCGGAGGGTGGGTAGCTGACGGGCGGAGGTTGGGCGGGTAGCTGATGGGCGGTTGCTGACGGGGGGAGGGGCGGTACTGACCAAAGGGGGGTGGGTAGTTAGATTGATGGTCAGCATCTGACGAGCGGAAACCTGCAACCCGCCGGTGCTCAATTTTGTTGACTGGCGGGAGGTTGCTGACGGCCGGAGGTAGCTGACGCGCGGAGGGTGGGTAGCTGACGGGCGGAGGTTGCTGACGGGCGGAGGGGCGGACCCGACCAGAGGGGGGTAGTTAGATAGATAGTTAGTATCTGATGGGCGGAAGTTGCTGACGCCTGACGCGGGTGGGTAGCTGACGGGCGGAGGTTGCTGACGTGGAGGGTGGGTAGCTGACGGGCGGAGGTTGCTGACGGGCAGAGGAGGTTGGTTGCTGACGCGTGGGGGGCGGACCCGACCAGAGGGGGGGGGTAGTTAGATAGATATAGTATCTGATGGGCGGAGGTTGCTGACGCCTGACACGGGTGGGAAGCTGACGGGTGGAGGTTGCTGACGCGCGGAGGGTGGGTAGCTGACAGGCGGAGGTTGCTGACGGGCTGAGGGGCGGACCCGATTTGAGGGGGGGGGGGGGGGGGGGGGGGCTGGCTTAAACAGGGTCTATTTGGAAGCTGGCATTCGGGCTTTGCTGTGGTCATATATCCTCACACGAAGGCCGGCGAGCTGGTCCCAGCGAGCTAGGGCACGTATTGGAACAACATTCTGTTAATGTCAGGTTTGTGTCACAAGACCTGAGTCGGACAGCAAGCTAACACAAAGAAAGCGGCAAGCAGCAACCAAACAGGCCCCTCCAACTTCACGAGAATTCAAAAATCTGCGTTTACCCATCGGTCGGAAAGAAAAGAACTCCTCTCTCTCTTGATCAGGGGATTGGATCCCGAAAAGATGGAGAACAGCATACGCACCAGAAGAAGAAACCTCCGTTCTCTCTTGGCAACGGAAAGAGATCTTGATTATTTCCTTTACCTTTTCAAAAGATGGACAAGGGCATACGCTCAAGAAGAAAGGGCGGAGATTCCCCACCCCTCAACGAAAACACGGAGAAAGTCCCTCCAAGTCATTCAGCTGATCTCTAGCAGCGAGCTCCTCTACCTCTTGGTAACTCTCCATCTCCTCTGACGATAAATGAAGAGAGCTCGCTGCTTCGTCATCCGCAAGAAATGAGCTTCTTTTCTCCAAAAGGGTAAGGAAGAGATCCCTTGGCACATCCCCTACCGCAGCATCTCCAAGGAGCAGAGAACCCTTCCAACTTCACGAGAAAAAAGGAACTCCGGCTGCCTCCTAGTCGACAACAAGAGAAAGGATCTCCTTGTCGTCCCCTCTTTCTCCTCAAGGGATAGAAGAGAGATAGCTTTCAAGAAGTGAGGACTGAACTGTCTCAATCTTCAAAAGAAGAGTCTGGTCCTCCCCTTAGCCTTCAACAAGACATGAGCAGCCCTCTACCCCGTCCTCTGAATTAGCTCCCGAAAAGACAAATCCTCTGCCTCATCCTCGACAAGAAGAGACTGAGAGCAATCTAAGGGGGCAGAGGAAAGCGCCATCTCAACAAATCAAGCAGGCCGCTCCAACTTGACGAGAAAGAAGAGGGCTCCGTTTACCCTTCTGCAAGAAGAGACCTCCTTTCTTTCTTGATAAGGGGGGGGATGCTCAAGAAGAAAGGGTGGAGCTCCCCCCAATTTTCAAGTAGAGACATCTGGTCATCCCTCAGCCTTCAAAAGGAAAAGACCTCATGCTCCAAAATAAGAAGAGAGTCCCCAGGATATTCGTGGCAACAGAAGAGAGCATCCCTTTTTACCTCTTGGTATGTCGCCTTGTCGTCTTAATTAAGAAGATTGAAGAGACATCGCTCCTAGCAAGAAAGGACAGAGCTCCCCTAGCTTCCAAAAAGAAAGATTTTCTACCTCATCCTCCACAAGAAATCACTGAGAGCTTCCTCCTATGCAATGAGGCGTAAGAGAGCTCCATCTCAGTCCAGCAGACAGGCCCCTCCAACTTCACGAGAATTCAAAGGTCTCCGTTTACCCATCGGTCGGAAAGAAGATAACTCCTTTCTCTCTTCATAAGGGGATTGGATCTTGAGCATTTCTTTTGCCTTTTCAAAAGATGGAAGACAGCATACGCACAAGAAGAAGAAACCTCCTTTCTCTCTTGGCAGTGGAAAGAGATCCTGATTGTTTCCCTTACCTTTTCAAAAGATGGAAAAGGGCATACGCTCAAGAAGAAAAGGCGGAGATTCCCCCACCCCTCAACGAAAACACGGAGAAAGTCCCTCCAAGTCATTCAGCTGATTTCTAGCAGCGAGCTCCTCTACCTCTTGGTAACTCTCCATCTCCTCTGACGATAAATGAAGGGAGCTCCCTTCTAGTCGAAGAAGACAAGGCTCAACGCATCTCCAGTTTCAAAAAGAACTGCGGCTGCCTCTTATAGTCGACAAGATGAGAGAGGAGCTCCTTGTCGTCCCCTCTTCCTCTTCAAGGGATAGAAGAGGGATAGCTTTCAAGAAG